TGATCAGATGGATGAAAACGAGCCAATTCATGAGGAAGTAACAACTTTTAATGAAAATGTTCATTGGAAAAAGCAAAAACCTGTGTTAGGAATGAGATTTGAAAGTCCTAAACAGTTAAAACATATGTTGTGTAATTATGCTGTTGCTAAAGGGTATCAATTGTGCTACAAAAAAATGATAGTAGGAGGCTATTAGTTAAATGTTGTTCAGGGCAATGCAAGTTTAGATTGTGGGCTTCATGGATGAGTGAAGAAAAATCTTTCCAGATTAAGTCTCTTATAGATGAGCATAATTGTAAAATGGGGTCAATTGTAAACTATGCATGGATGAGTGAAGAAAAATCTTTCCAGAAATTTTAAAATGGGGTCAATTGTAAACTATGCATGGATTGGTAGCCATTTCACAACACAATTCTTACAAAAACAAAAAATGAGTGTTAGGCTACTCAAAGAAGAAGTAAAACAAAAATTTGGAATTGATGTGAGTATGGGACAGTGTAGAAGAGCAAAGAAATATGCAATTGAACTAATTGAAGGCACACTTGTTGAGCATTATGCCAAGCTTTAGTCATATGGTGAAAAGATAAGAAGATCCAATCCAGGATCAACTGTCAAAATGGATGTCAACAGTATGCCTGATGGGAAGACATATTTTAGTAAGTTTTATATATGTTTTGAGGGGCTGAAACAAGGTTGGAAAGGCAGTTGTAGAAGAGTAATAAACCTGGATGGTTGTTTCTTAAAGGGATTATGTAGTGGAGAGTTGATATGTGCCGTAGGAAGAGATGCTAACAATCATATTTTCCCAATAGCATGGGCAGTTGTGTGTGTGGAAAACAAAGAAAATTGGAAATGGTTTTTGGAGAATCTTAAAGATGATCTACAAATGGAAAATGGCTTTGGTATAACCCTAATGTCAGATCAACATAAGGTATATTACTTACTATACAAGTTAATGTTTTTTGTTAATGAATTTCTATTTTCTTAACAGATTAATTTAAATAATGTAGGGGCTATTAGAGGCTGTGAAGGAAGTAATGCCTACTATTGAACACAGACAGTGTGCAAGGCATATTGTTGCCAACTTTAGGAAAAGATTCAGTGGTGTTCATTATGAGAGGATGTTTTGGAAGGCATGCAAGGCATCAATTGGGCCTTTATTCAATGCAGCCATGAAGGAAATACAACTAGTTAATCCTACAACATTTGATTACCTTATGGAAAAGAACCCAAAGTCATGGTGTAGAGCTTTCTTTCAAGAGGGGAGGATGTGTGATGCAGTTGAAAATGGATTATCTGAAAGCTTTAACAATGTCATTAGAGATGCAAGAAAAAAAACCAATAATCATAATGTTAGAAGAAATTAGGTTGTATGTTATGGAGAGGCAATTCAATCTGACCATCAAAGGTTGTTCATGGCCTGATTATAAACCATGTCCAGCTATTACAATCCTACTGAATCAGTTGAAAAGAGCTCAAAGGTATTACCTTTATGTTTGAATTTTAATTGATTAATTACACTATATACTAACTTGTATACAATTGAAATAGGTATTGGCAGGTTTTACCAACTGGTTTAAACCAGTTTGAAACAAGAAATTTGGCAGAGTATTATGTTGTGGATATAGATAAGAAGACTTGTTCATGTAGAGTGTGGCAACTAAATGGGTATGGATGTGTGCATTCAGTTGCAACAATCTCATACCTTAACAGTGATGTTGGTAATTATGTGGATCCAATGTACTATGGGGCATTTTATAAGAACACCTACAAGTATCCAATGCGTGGGATGAATGGTAGCAACATGTGGCCACCTACTGAATTCATTGCACCTTTGCCACCATTGAAGAGAAAAATGTCAGGCAGACCAAAAGTTAATAGAAGAAAGGATGCAAGTGAAAGGGGTGCAAGACATACTGTGTCAAAGGTTGGGAAAAAAATTATGTGTAGTGTATGCAAGCAAGCAGGACATAACAAGGTTACATGTTCTCAAGCTGAAAAACCAACAAAACTCAAGGTAAAGAAAAGGAAGAGAGTAGATGGTAATGTTGGGGAAGGAAGCAGTGGTAAGAAGGTCAAGGATGTTACAGATGAGCAAGGAAGTAAGGGCAGTAATGGTAATGTTGGGGAAGGAAGCAGTAGTAAGAAGGAAGTGGATGGTAAAGATGAGAAAGGAGGTAGGGGTAAGAAGGTAATTATCAAGAAAAGAAAGAAGTCTGAAAGAATAATCAAGAAAAAACTTGCTACACGGGTTGAGGGTAAAAATGGGGAAGGCAACACTAATGACAAGCCAATGGAACTTGAATAGGCATGAAATTTCAATGTCAGTTTCGGATTAAGTGTGGATGTTTGGTGTTATGTACTTCTTATTTAGGATCCAAGAGAATGTTTCGGATTAAGTGTGAATGTTTGCTGTTATGTATTCAATGTTGTTATGTATTTGAATGTGGTTATGATTGGGGTTATGTTTGTATGATTGGTGTTATGTTTGCAAAATAATTTTAATGGTTTCAATGTGCTATTGATTGTGTGTTATAGTTATGGATGTGCATGGTATTGGGGTCCATTATTGACATTAGTTTAAGACAAAATGCGTATGGTCCCATTTATTCTAGTTGAATATGGTCCCATTCATTCTAGTTGAATATGGTCCAATGTCACTTTCAACAAATACACTACGAACCACACTTGGGATCCCATATGAGTTACCCATTGTTTTATGATTAAATTAAAATAAAGGTACATGGATAATAGAGTACTTTCCATAAAAAGCAAATAAACAAGGGCTAACTATTACAACTTGTAAACAATTATGCCAAAGAAAACAATCCAACTAAGAACTAAACACATCTCCAGCTTCCAAATCTTTGATTCAAGCTTCTTTTTTGACCTAGCCAAACCTGCAATCATAACTGCTTCAACACTCATATTCTTAGTGTCTGCTTCTTCTACCCAACAAATAAAACCATTACGAGGTCCCTAACAAAATCCATTTTCGAGTGATAACATGAAAATGGAACAAACTATTAAATTAGGGCTACAGGCGCCTAATAAACAAACTAACACACACCTTAGTGGGACAAGCATAGAAGGGTCTTCTAGGGTTGGAGGGAGTGGAAGACATTCTTATTATGGCTACACAACCACACGAGCATTTCACCATTTTCGCTTCGTTAATTCCGAGAGCTCTTTACTTCAGAATGCAAACAATCACAGGGAAAAAGAAAGCCACTGCCGAGTAAGGAAGTAAAGTACTTATAATTAGGAAATGACGAAAATGCCCCTTGACGAAAATACCCCTTTGTTTGACCTCATGCACATCTGTCATAGTTGGTGCACCAAACACAATTAATTATCATTAAGTAAGGCAACCAAATCGTTACCCTTAATCAACAACAATGAACGCAACAAATAATAACCCATTCAATCCCTTTACATTTCATCAAGATCATACCAAAACGCCTGTTACAGGTAAGCAGGACTTCAAAATACATCGATAAAGTACCATTACAACCACCACTGGAGTACCACTACCTACACAAACTGGATTACCACTAACACAAACGAACACACATAATCCTAATAACATATATGACAAGAAACACCATTAAACCTAACAGTAGATTAAGGGCACTACTACAAACCACTTCCATGAGATTCACTTGCTGATTATCAAGTGAATGATGAAAATCATTAGCAGGAGCATCACGAGGACAACACCCACAACTAACAGTGCAATCGCTTTAATCTGCTTCTCAACATGTTCGAACCTTTGCTGCATGTTGAGGACATCCACCCTGGAATGAAGGTAATCGCGGCCCATCTCCTCTTTCATGCGCTCCACCTGACCTTTTTGCTCAGCTATCTTTTCACCACAGTCACAGAAGATCGTGTGCAAATCATTCAAGTTACGTCCGTCTGTTGATCATATCGAGTTATTGGAGTTTATAGTATCTGGTGATGGTGGTGGGGTAGGATCCATGGAAGACAGTAAAGGTCAAAGCGAGTATTGTATTATCGGTTGTCGGCTAGTGTTTGGCCGGAAGTGGTAACAAAAATTTAGGGTTTTGTCCAGCAGACCCTTCAATTATATAGTAGGGGACCACTGAACCCTTAGGGCCCAAGCAAGCCAACTCGGTCGTGAGTCGTTGACGTGTAATCCGAGTCGTGTGAGTTGACTCGCTAACTTAGTTGGATGATGACTAGGCAAGGGAAATCGGTTGAATTGGGTCAAAATCCCAAATTAGCCGGTTAAAATGTTAAATGTAAATTCATGCCCTTATAAAGCCAAAAGATAACATAAGGGACCTTTTAAATCAAAACGTGTAAGTTTATGGGGCTACAATGACATTTTCCCATTTTTTAAATGTTAATGTATAGTTATGATTTGTATTGTTCTCGGTATTAGGTATAAGTTTTAAAATTTTACAAGATGGTTAAATTATAGTTTTGGTCCCTTTGGTTTGCATAGTTATGCATTTTAAGTCCTAACTTTAACTTTTTTGCATCAATAGTCCTTATGGTTGGAAAAAATTACAAACGACGTTTGAAAAATACGTCTTATCTATATTTTTGTTTTTTCTAATTATTCTACATATACATCTTTCAATATATAGTTGATTTATTAGTATCTGGTTAATAAACCCGTCACGGTCCATCACTCCATCACTGCTCGTTACAATAATTTCAAAGAAAAAGTTATTATTATAATTAAATGGAAAGATAAGAACACGAGTAATGCAGTAAATAGTGACTAATCAAGTGCGTGGCCTTATACGACAGCTTAACAATCTCCCCAATTGCCGCGTCATCTTACCCGGCTGTTTTACGTGTCAGTCCTTCATTCATCTGCCTCTTCACTACTTCAAACTTATATATACAACGCCCTCTATCAGCTCAGATGACCAACACATAGTACGAAAGTATCATCCCACTATAATAAACGAACGATAAAACAAAAGTTTGAAGTTTAGCTAGAGAGTCGAGAAGAAACTGAAAGAATGGCATCAGGTCAAGAGAGAAGGTCGGACTTGGACGCCAAGGCCAAAGAAGGGGAGACCGTCGTGCCTGGTGGCACAGGGGGCAAAAGCCTGGAAGCACAAGAGCATCTTGCTGAAGGTTTCTAGTTCTTTACTTTTTGGTTTCGGTTTCTTGTATTAATTTCCAGAAGTGGTGTCATGCTTCGAATATTTATATTATATGATTCTTTTCAAGCTGCTTACTTTTGATCGATGATGTGTTGAAATTACATTTAGGAAGGAGCAAGGGAGGGCAGACTCGAAAGGAGCAGCTGGGGACAGAAGGCTACAAGGAGATGGGCACCAAGGGAGGTGAGGCTCGGAAGGAGCAGCTGGGGACCGAAGGGTACAAGGAGATGGGCACCAAGGGAGGTGAGGCTCGGAAGGAGCAACTGGGCACCGAAGGGTACAAGGAGATGGGAAGTAAGGGTGGGGAGACTCGTAAGGAGCAGATGGGGAGTGAAGGGTACCATGAAATGGGACGTAAAGGTGGTCTGAGTACTAAAGACAAGTCTAGTCAAGAGCGTGTTGAGGAAGAAGGTATCGAGATCGATGAATCCAAATATCGAACCAAGACCTGAGCATAGCAGTGTGTGCTCATGACGTGCATTATATGTCCAACAGTAATACTAGCAGTGTGTGCTTATGACAAGTATTATATATGTATCCAGTAGTAGTAGTTTTCGTAAATATGCTGGGTTCGGGTGGTTTTGGTGTAGAAGGAAGGTATTAGGTTTTGCACGGTGTACCTTTTTGATGATGTTGGTAGGTGGTGCACTTGTACTGCTCAACTAAAGAAATATCGGATATGTTTATGTATGCAGGCTTTTTATCAGCTATGTTCGTCAGCGGCTACCATATTTTATATAAATGTATATAAAGAGATGCATACACATACACATAACACATAGTAAAGATTAACTTCTTTTCAAATTAATATAGTAAAAAGGGGAACAAATTAACGAGTCACAGACTCAGTTGCGGGCACAAAACACTGGTCGGCACGTGAGTTATGTTAGCAAGTGTAGTCTTCAGAAAATATTTACGACACTATTATACTTCTACAAATATTTACCACACCATAGGAATTAATAAAAAGTTTTTTCATGTTTTCCTCGTCGAAAAACTGAACCAAAACATCGCAAATTGATGAAACCAACAGACGCTCATCCTTCTTCATTTTCATTGCAATTGTGCGTTCTTCCTTTCTCGTTTTCAGTCCGCCAATTGTTTTTTATTCCGGTTCTTCTTAATCATGTCACCGTTCATAAAATCATCTTTCTTATGGATGATAATCTTTTAATTTTAATTATCGCCCGAGTACTTATAAGACAGACGCTACAATGTAATACATGAATACAGACACTACAACGTACACTGAGGTAGTGAGGTGGCAAATGGTCCATGAGGTAGTGAGGTGGCAAATGGTCCATGAGGTAGTGAGGTGGCAAATGGTCCGTGAGTGAGGCTATGCTTGCTCATAATTTCTCTCCTTCATTCTTTTCTTTGTATCTCTTTTCTTCTCCCCACTTACCATCAACTATGGTCCGTGAGTGAGGCTGAGTGAGGCTATGATTGCTCACAAATTTCTCCAATTCTCTCTCTTTCTGGAACACTATTTTTTAAGATGATGAGAACCTAATGGAGTGATATAATTTGCTTATGTGGCCGTCTCGCGTAAGTATTCTCTACCCATTCCTTTTAGCCTAATGTCTATCCTAGACTTGAGGCGCAAAATCTAATGAGATCAATATTATCTTTAATATCCGCGAGTCGATGGAGGACCAACATGTAATTTTGTACGAAAATACTCCAAGTAATCGTGAAAGATGTCCACAAGTTAAAGCTGGGTTGGAATAAAGTGAATTCAATGTACTGGGACATCATTATTTTATACTTCACATATTTTTTCCTAATGCACAGAGTTCTACTACAAAGTCCTATGAAATATATTTAAATGATTATTTAAGAATAAAAAAAGTTTTTCTTTTCCATTCGATTCAACAATGATGTAACAACCAGTTTCCAGAACGGGTCAGTTTAGGGCTTCTCAAATGCATGATTTTTGGATAAAACCAGGTGTCATGACGACCGTAGAGAGGTCACGACATGACAAGTGATTAAATGAAAAATGTTGATTTAACTGAGGTCACGACGTGAGATGTGTTGCAGCCTAAGCTCATGATCTTTTAGGGTTCCTTCGTATTTAAACCCCATAAATCTCATTTTAGGGTTCATTTACAAACCCCCTTCGTACTCAAGCACAAAAAAACCCTAACTGTAACACCTAAATTTTCAAAACAATTTTTCACAATTTCAAAACATACTTTCCTTCATAAAATAATAATAAACATAATGTATCCACTGTCATCATAGAAAAACATATCCCAGAATCACATAAACAAAAACTCCATGAGTGTGTACAGATCATGCCGACGCCTTCCCGCGATCCTCACTGGTACCTGAAACACATAACACAACACTGTAAGCATAAATGCTTGGTGAGTTCCCCAAAATACCACACACAACACATATTAGCCACTCGAGGCTATAACTCTATTTGACCCTCTGGTCAATGTGTCTCAGTGGGACCCTCCAGTCCCATAACTCTGTGGGCCCTCTAGCCCTAACTCTATGGACCTTCCGGTCCTAACTCTGTAAACTCTATAACATACATAACATAAATCACATAGAAATCACATCATGCAAAAGCATACGAATTACTCTGTCACATAACTCTAATTACCACTCTAGGTAAAGTATAGTGAGAAGACTCACCTCGGGTAACTCGGTAAATCTCGAACTCTGTAAATCTGGTCTAGCCTCCGCCTAATCATATGAAATAAACACTCTAAATCAATACATCTATCAAGGCTAGACTATTCCTTCCCTTAATACTCTCAGAAGGGTAAAAGACCATTTTACCCCTCTTATGGCTCAAAGACCCTAAAGTTGACCAAACCCTAAAAGTCAACAAAAGTCAACTTCCCGGGTTACGCTGCGCGTACCAAACGTGTACGCTGGGCGTACCCGGCGTCCTCACAAAAACGGGGTGCGCGACCCCCTTACGCTGCGCGTACTGGGATTACGCCCCTCGTAACTCCCAGTTTCAGTCCCTAAGCTCATTGAGGTCTTAAACAGTTAAGACCCACGTCCAACTTCTAGATCTGACCATTTCTAAGCCTCTTAATCCATAAAGTTGATGACTTTAAGCCTTTGCATGGCTGGACAAGTCACTAACACCCTTATCATTCCATTTCCCAACTCTAGAAAGCTCATAATTCAAGCATGACCTCATAATAACGACCAAGATGGGATTTTTATGGATCTACAACACATATATCACTGAAATGGGGCAGATCTAGGTCCATGGAGTACATTACACTCATAAAGTCTCCACCTTTGGGACTTTTAACCCTAAAATGGTCCATGCAACATTAAACCAAACAAAGAGGAAAGTTTTGAACTTTATACCTCTATATGAAGCTCCTTTCTCTGAAGATCTCAGATCCAAACTTGCACTTCAAGCCCTAGCCTCCACAAGCTTTTCTCCTTCTTCTTCACTAACACACCAAGACACTTTTAGCTCAAAACTCTCACACACAAGCTTAAAGATGAAGAAAGGCTCTCTTAGAGTTTCACTCTCTGATATGGTGGTTGAGAAATGAGTCTTAGCATTCCTTATATAGTGCACAAGCCAAATATTAGGGTTTGCATCTGGGCCTGTTACGCCCAGCGTAACCCTGGGTACGCCCAGCGTACCCAGGCGAGTCCGCGTCCAAATTAAGCGCATGAGTACGCGCATCGTACTCTGGAGTACGCCCAGCGTACTCATTTGTTACAAATTCCCCTTAAGGGCTAAACTTGACAATTTGACAAAAGAGAAGGGTTAAATAGTTGTACTTGAATTTCAGGATGTTACAATTCTCCCCCACTAGAACCAGACTTCGCCCTCGAAGTCTTATGCTGCAAACAACTTCGGGTGCTGCTCTCGCATCTCTGACTCTAGCTCCCAAGTCAGCTCGGACCCTCTCCGATGTTACCACTGGACCTGAACCAGAGGCACCTCATTGTTCCTCAGAACCTTGATCTTCCGATCCATAATCGCGATTGGCCTCTCAGCATAATTCAGGCTCGCATCCACCTGAATATCCTCCAGTGGTACCACTGCCGACTCGTCGGCTATACACTTCCTCAACTGAGACACGTGAAAGGTATCGTGAATCTGACTCAGCTCCGCAGGTAGCTCCAACCGATATGCTACTCTGCCCACCCTCGCGGTCACCCTAAACGGACCAGTGTACCGGGGCCCCAGCTTTCCCCTCTTCCTGAATCGGATCACTCCTTTCCAAGGAGAACCTTTAGGAGTACGAAGTCTCCCACTTGGAACTCAAGCTCGGATCGTCGCCTATCCGCATAACTCTTCTGGCGACTCTGGGCTGTCAACAACCTCTGCCTGACCTGCTGTATCTGCTCTGTCGTCTGAAGCACTATTTCAGTGCTACCCATCACACGCTGCCCTACCTCTCCCCAGCAAATGGGAGTCTGACACCTCCTCCCGTACAACAACGCGAAGGGAGGCATACCAATACTCGAATGGTGGCTGTTTTTATAGGAAAACTCAGCCAACGGAAAGTACGTGTCGCAACTTCCACCGAAGTCCAACACACATGCTCGGAGCATGTCCTCAAGCGTCTGGATCGTCCGCTCACTCTGCCCGTCCGTCTGTGGGTGATAGGCGGTACTGAAATGCAACCTCGTATCCAACTCCTCGTGGAACTTCTTCCAGAACCTGGAAGTGAAACGTACATCTCGGTCTGACACAATCGAGATCGGTACCCCATGACGCGATATCACCTCCCTCACATACAACTCTACCAACCTCTCAGCAGAAGAGCTCTCACTGATAGCAAGAAAATGCGTGCTCTTCGTCAGCCGGTCGACGATCACCCAAATTGCATCGACACCCCTCGCGGTCCTCGGCAATTTGGTGATGAAATCCATGGAAATATGTTCCCACTTCCACTGGGGAACCTCAAGTGGCTGCAACTTGCCATGTGGACACTGGTGCTCGGCCTTAACCCTGCGACAGGTCAAGCACCTCTCAACAAACCATGCTACATCCCTCTTCATACAGGGCCACCAGTAATCTTTCTTCAGATCCAAGTACATCTTAGTGGCCCCGGGATGGATCGAGAACCTCGATCTGTGCGCCTCCTCCATCAGAACGGTATGTGCCCCACCCGTATACGACACCCAAATCCGACCCTGGAAGGTCATAAGCCCACGGCTATCGGTAACAAACTCAGGTGCTTGTCCGATTACCCGCTCCCTCTTGCGGTTCTCCGGTCTTACGGCCTCTGCCTGGGCCTCCCGAATGGTGTCCAACACCGGAGTCATAACTGTCAATCTCAAGCAAACATCTCGTATCGAAGCACTCTCCGCCCTACGGCTCAGGGCATCAGCTACAACATTAGCTTTGCCAGGGTGGTACAGGATCTCACAATCGTAATCCTTTACCACGTCCAACCATCTTCTCTGGCGCATATTCAGGTTGGGCTGATCCATCAAATACTTCAAG